TGCTTGTCTTGTCGCATTGTGCTTTTTTTTTTTAATCCTGTTTCATTTCAAAAGCTGATGATGTGATGTGACTTAAGGAAAAGATTAATAGTTATTAATAGTGTTTTTCAAAATGCGTAGGCTACAGCAGGAATTACAGATTCATTACTTTAACTAATCAACAGCTATTTACTATGTATATATACAGGTATAGTTCATACCATTGACATGGTATATAATATATGTACTATTAAACTTCAACCAAGAATATTTATAATTTTCATTGAAATTGAAGCTAAGAATGAAGTGTTTTTGATTTATTGTGTTTTTTTTTGTATTAGTTGTCTTGTAACATGATGTACATTTTTTTTGTTATAGTTGTTGTCTCTGACTCTGGATGGTTTAACTGGTGCTAGTCAAGACAGGATGAAGTCCTTTCACCAAACAAGTGCTAACAACATGATGCTTCATATCAATGTCTTCTCAGTCCTCTGGTTGGCCATAGGTATGACGTACACAGTTTAATCAAGGTTTTTATCTATTCAAAACATAATGATTTTGATTACAAACTGTTGTCAGATTATTGTTTTTGGTCTAAAATATTTCGCTCCATTGACAGGTCTACTGGCAACAGGAGAGTTGTTTGAGTTCATTGGATTTGCCAGCCGGCACCCTATAGTCTTGTTTAACATGATTAGCTTTAGTATAGCCTCAGCTTTAGGACAGGTATGTAGATAAATAATTGAATTAGATAAACTACAGCATCAGTATATATTTTTAAAATAGCATTAGAGCCCTCCTCTCAATCCTTTTTTGCTTAATTCAGATTTCTTTACAATGCCTCTATTCAGCTTGCAAAATTCATGGGAAGTTAAAAAAAAAGTTCCCCTTTCAGACCTTGCAGTCTATAGGGCAGATTATGTAAAGGTCATCTGATTCTGTGGCCTACGGGGTTAACGAGGGACCGGATGAAAAAAAACGGGGCACATCTCAAAAATGGCTGTAACGATTTTACTAGAAATTTGATGTATATCTTTGGGAAAAGATATACTAGCTAATTGGCCACACTGAGAAAATGCTAGTTATAATAATTTGAAATATTTTCTTCTAAAATTAAATTTGATCTTGACAATCTTATCTTTAACAGTGTAAGGTGTTTCTCTCTACTAGAGATGTGTTTGACATCTACAATTTCTGAGGAAGTGTCTTAGTATCCTTGTCCGGGTGTATTTCCACTAATGCGAGTGCAATAAGCAAAACACAAGTACAAGTGAAGACTTAAGTCAAGTCTAGGCAGTTCAACAATTCAAACTAACATTTAATAATGCAGAATGGGTCACATTAAAGTCTCTTTGTGGTCCCCTTCAAAACAATACATAAACTGTCTAAAAAAATACATAAACAAACTAAACTCCACAATTCGTGATGTCACTACATCTAGTTCAAATTCCATCAAGTACAGTGTGTTGCTAAGCTTAACAATTCTATCATATAAGCTTTTTTTTCCCAGCATGTAGGCCCTACTATTCAATAAAGAGTTGAATTATTAAATGCATTTAAGAACATTTTGTGCACCGTCTTGTAAGTCTGGATCTATAGGCCTATTATCAGAATTTTATATACTCTGAGTGGAGTTATGCATTCCAGGATTTTCTTCATGGTGAAGGGTAAAAACTTACCTTTTTTTTTTTTATCTATCATTCATTAGTTATGTAGAGTAAAATAATTGCTCTTGTGAAAATTCATCAGATTCTTAAAGGAAAAATGGTCTTTTTTTTTAAAATGTTATTTGTTTTAATGTCAAGAAAGAGGATAATATGGTGCATCCCATTTAATTTGAAGTATTACTGCGTGATTTCAGATTAAAAAGTATACTTCAGCTATGGAAATAACTGAATAATATGGATATCTTACAAGTCACTAATTCTATTTAGAGCTAGTTCTTTAAACTTAAGCTAAGACTAACAAGATGTTCTCATATGTCTCAGTAAATTCAGGTTAACATCTGCTTTTTTTCATTTACATTATAAATAAAAATGACAATATTTTTATTCTCAATGTGACTAGTGAAACAACATTTAAGTGTAGTGGAGGAATGTGTTGAATATATTTCATTGAACACAAATCCAGTTTTGAATATGATTAATTTTGCATCCCAAACTCAAGTTGTAGAATTAATATGCACACTGATTGCCTCAGAATCCCCGCTGGAAGTATTGAAGTAATACATATATACCACTGACTGACTAACCTCTAGTCTCCCTGGTCATTCGATTTGCACGCTCGACTGTCGTTCCGACTTATCCCGGGTTCAAACCCTGTCTCCTCCCATCCCCCGTCGTCCTGTGGGAGGTTTGAACTATGATGTGTGGAAGGAACATCCGAAACATGTAAAACATTTTACAAACAAAACATTTACAATTTTAACTTTTTAATTTTTTAACTTTCTTGTTAGAGATAGAAAAGTTAAATATAATTTGTTCTAGTTACATCAATTTGCCAGATAACAGATTTCTGTTTAAAATCTGATTTTATTGTTAGTTTATATTACTTTCATAGGCGTCCAAATACAACTGAAATTTTATTCTAAAACATTGCCATATTTTAAAATTTCATAGGTGATATTTGAAAACTGTCGAATATGGTCCAAAATGGGTTAATGCTTAAGTTATATTTTTTAGTAAATCAATTTATAAAATTGTCTATCATTAAATTTTAAAAATATGTACCTTATAACTTAACATTCTAAGATAATTAACCATTTATAAGTATAATTTACATAAACCCAGTTTATTTGTTAAAAGATATGTTTTGGTTATGACCATTTTTTAAATGGATATCTTGTCTATGACATATTTTGCTATAAAAATATTTTTTTTTTTTTTTTTTATCGGCTTCAAAACTTGTCAATAATGTAAACAGTTCTTGAAGATAAAATTTTTTTTTTAAAACCTTATTTTATTTAATTTCACGAGCAAGGGATGAAGTCAATTTCAAAGTTATTTTCATCTGATAAGATTTCAATTATGATTTCCTCTGAATTGATTTTTCAGTTTTGGTAATTTAATTTTTTTGTTTTCAGATGTTTATATTTATAACTGTAACAACGTTTGGACCTTTAACCTGCTCCATTATAACCACCACCAGGAAATTTTTCACCATCCTGGCTTCAGTCATCATCTTTCAAAATCCTATGTCAGCCCAGCAATGGGCAGGCACATCTTTGGTCTTCGTTGGACTTGGACTTGATTCAGTGTATGGCAAAGAGAAGAAAAATAAGAGTTGATAACAGGATCGCATATATCTTAGACTGACTTTGACAGACTTTATGTGATCAATCTAATAAAATAAAGATTGAGGTTGGCATGTGGAAATGTTATTGTTTGGGTCCCGATCAGGGTCCACATACCAGAAAGTTTTAACTCATCACAAAAGTTCCCTTTTTTTTCTCATTCGCAGTTGTGCTTTTCTATTTATTTTTTAAATAAATTTGTTATTGTTACTTTTAAAATGTGAAGCATTGAAAAGATTGTAATAAAATATTTAAAATGAATTTAATTTAAAAAAATATGTTAAAAATTACACTCCAACTCTCATACATTTCTATACAATGTTAAGGAACAAATGAAAAATTTTATTTTTTTAATCAGCAAAATGTCCAAGGATCAACAGTGCTAGAGCATAAATATAAATTTATATATATAACACGAAAAAACTATGTACACAAGTGTTCACTGTTGCTTTTTATTTCTTTCCTATTCTTTTCTGCTCTTCCAACTTCTTTTCTGCTTTCTTCCATTCTTCTGACAAGTTCTTAGCAAAAGAGTTTATGAAACTATTTGTTTTTTTAATAGATTTGTTGGCCTGATCTTGAACAATCCTTGATGAATGTTTGAGTTCATCTTGCAGGCGATTCACAGCATCTGTTTCTTTCCATTGCTCTAGCTTTTCCCCACCTTGAAAGAAAAGATCAAAACATTATATCAACTTATTTTTTATTCATCAAACTTTTTTTTTTCCTTGTAAGTTTAGTCAAGTACAAGTTAATGACATTTGACATCTAATGGATTGTGAACTTGCCAGAGAAAGTAAATATACATTTAGTTCAGTATTAATGTTAATTTCTTCTTAGTGTTTTGAATTATATTTTAAATAAATATTAATTGAGGTTTTCTTAAGTGCTTAAGTTTTATTTATTATTATGAATCTTAATAAATGAATTTTAATAGAGAACATTGTATGTGAAGAGGAATTTAAAAGAATATACTCTGATAAAACCAAGTCATTGCCTTTATTTATATCCATTTGCTATTCTGGTATGAACTATATGCAACCAGAAGCATACATGTATGTTGTTTGATAATTCAAACTTGCTGGTTGAAAACATCAAAGTTTATAAATGTTTTTAGATGTCTGTTCATAAGCTGAAAGATTATTTTTTTAGATAAAAAAAAAATATGTCTATCTGATTGATGAAAGAGTGTTATTCAGTCAGATTGTTATTTATTAACTTGATATGTAATAGATTAACTAATTTTTTTCAGTGGGAACAAGTGAAATGATTAGATGGCATATTTGTAGGTAGTTTTGCAATTAGGCAGCTGAAGTAGAAATGACTATAATATAAATTAACCTAAAAGTGTCAACTTTTTGTGAGTATATATATGAATTGGGCTACTTATAACTCACATTGGCTGGATCTGTTTAAACACTTTTTTATCTTGTCTTGTAATTTATCAATTTTTATTTTATTGAATTATTTTATTGGCTGGCTCATTTTGAGTCCATCATAATTTATTTTGTATATGTTGTTGTCATGAATAAGAATCCAGAATAAATTATCAGTCTTGTTTTGTTTCATCTTGATTTAGATAATGATCAATTATATTAAACTCCCAGTTTGATGTTTATTTTTTAGTTGATTGTTACTATAAAAAGGTATTTTAAAATAGTATTTAAACTTTATTTACCAATTTCTTTTCCTTTTTGAAAAAAGTAAGCTGTCAGCTGTGCTGCTCGTCTGATTGGATAACTTTCTGCTATCTAGACAAAAAATGTTTAATATTATTTATGAAATTTCCTTATGAAATGTTAGATAATAGATGAATTGACAGCAAAACAAAATTTTATGATTTTTCTTCTTCTGGTAATTATTGATTAGTATTATTTAAGTGTAAAATACAATAAATAATATATAATGTTTAAAAAAAAAGTTGCATAAAAATATATCCTACCTTTTGTATTAACTGTTCATTGTTTAACAGATACCTGCAAAAATATATTAATACTAATTTATTTGACAAATTTATGTCATTGTGTCATGTTTATTGGCCTGTCATCACTGTAAAAGTTGGCCGTTCAAGCCTGTGATTCAAGGGGCAAATAATGTAAAGCTCAATTGTTTGTATTTTTCCCAACCAGTGTCAGTGTCATTAGATTTTCGGGGCACTACCTGAAAATCCTTAAGTTCTAACTCTCAGGATTCAAACTCACATCCCTGTTCCCGCTCGACCAAGGCATTAACAAATTGTGTTTAAAAAATGTGAACATTGCTCACTGTAATCCCAAGTATCCTGTAGGAGGTTTGTGTTCAGATCTGCATTCTTAAGAAAATTAAAATCTCAGTACCACTAGGAATGGATTTTGTTTTGTTTGTTTTATATATTTTAGATGTTCTTTCAGATTTTTCCACCATAGTCCAAACCACAGGATGGCAGCGGGCTGAGTCCCAGGAACATCGAGATGACAGTCCAATTACATTACTGATCATTGTGTGAGAATCTAATTCACTTTTTAAAGAGCACAAAAGTCTGATGCCTTTATATTGGCACTGAGATGGGGGGTATTTATCACAAAAGGATATATTGAAGAATGTGCGGCTACATATTTTTATAACTTTATAAACATGGTTTTAGTGGGCCATATCACATAAATAACTGCAATAAGCCAAGTACAAAATCATCCAACTATTCTTGAAGTTTAAGATGTTCTTTTTTCAACTAAAAGAAATAGAACTGCAAATAATTTATCAATACTAAAACTAATGAAATTCAGAAATTCTCAAATTCATTACTATATTTACTTTTGTAAAATTTTATTGTTCTAGTAACTAACTCTTTTTTTTAAACTCTTATTTCTTAACCACTTCATGAAAATGTGTTTTTATGCTTGGCTGAATAAATGTTATGCTAAATAACAGGTTTATCAAAACAAATCTATCATGCCTGACAAGAATTAAAGGTATGAACATATCAATAGCTAGTTTACATTTCTTTGTTGCTATTAGTCAATAAAGTCATCATTTTGATAAATGAAATACCTTACTATTAGGTGAACTTCAAAAGTGTTGATATAAGAATTTTATTTATAGCTTTAAAATTTTTTAGATACAATCAATTTTTGGGTTCCAAAGTACTGTCAATGCCGGGGGTGAAAGTGGTGATAAGCTACCACTTTCCAAGAAATGCTCCCATGACTTGTCTCTAAATCCCTCTGACAAATCCAGCTCCTGGTCTTGGGTGAGATTTTCCCAAAAATCCGGTGGAAGCTGTTCTTACAAACTGACAGGAGAAGGGATGAAAGGCGGAACACTAGTGCCTCAAAACCAGTTTATCTTCATGTTGATGGAGCACGTCAGCCTGAATAATGCAACCCATCTTGGAAAAGGAAAACTCTGACTCCAAACCTCCACTTTGTGGCAATACTCCTCCGTGTGGGTATCAGGGCTTGGAAATGACCAAGAGTAATAACAACCCCACTGCCTTTCCACTTGCATTTCATTTCACTAAGGCGAATAATAGTGGAGCTTCCCCCCCCCCAGGTACTTTTTGATGTAGGTCTGGACTGCACTACCCCAGACAGAGGTCTATGTCTCACTACGCTGTAGTACTGGATATAAACCCATCAAGAAGTTTTTTCGGGAACTGGTGAATGTGATAGCGTGAAGAGGCCTGGATCCAGGATGTGATTATTCTACAGGGCATACCCAGGGCACAGTCCACCTTAAGCTTTACTACTGCAAAATAGTTACATTTGGAGAGCTCTGTGGATGGTGGAGAATGGACCATTGGCCAATCCCATCTTGTCCCATGGATATTCCAGTTACAGTTTCAGGCCCAGATGCTCTTTTAATTCAGTGTTGGAGCAAGTTGCCAAGACTGAAAACTTCCTTAAAATGCGGGGATTATACTGGCTGGCTAGAAGAAGAAGACATGTTCATAAAAAGATCATGACTTTCTATGTTGGTGTTAAAATTAAGATAACCCTAGAAGGAAACAAACATTAGTCCAGAAACCTACCTACAACCCATAATATTATTAATTCCAATAGTTAACTCTGAAAAGAAAAGATTAAGAAAGAATATATCATCTATTGTTCTAAGTGTGTGTGTCACTGCTAGAGGTAGTAATGTGAAGCAGAAGCAGTGTTGTGTAAAGACAAGCTCCAAATTAGAAAATAGGCCTGTCACAAATCACATTTATATAATCATGACTGTTAACTGTCATTTGTTGAGTTAATGTTTCAGTGGTTGAAAATTATCAGCTATTCAACTAGGTTTACTGAGCATAATTTCAATCCAAATATCATAAATATACTAATGTGAACCTCAGTGCTTCTAGTGCTGCAAAGTAAAGATTTCTAGATCTATACAATTGTGCAATGAATAAGTTTAGTGGTTGATCTAGATCTCTAAAGTAAATCATCTTAGAGACTAATCTAGACTCACACCTTTTTAACAGTTGGCTTGGCAATGTTAATCATTATCATTACTACTGTACATTTATAGAGAGATGGAGTGTTAGAAGTTAATATGAATTAGAACAATCTAGACCTAAATCTAGAATCTAATTTACATCTAGAATGACAAAAGGTATAGGCTAGGAAAAGGAAGTCTTTATTTCTGAAGGAACATCCAAAAGATGTAAAATATATACACATACAATTTTGTGTTTTGTTATCAACAAGTGAAGGTAGGTATGACACAATGAATGGAAATTTAACTATTATTAACTATAGTATAGTAATAGTTGACTTCCCTGCACAGACACTTCACTTTGTCAAAGAATCACTGAACTCACCATCAGTGTGTCACTACTAAGTCTAGATCTACTAGACTCTTATGAGTACGAATATGATGATATGATAAAAATTGATCCTCATTGATTGCCCCAGATACCAGGATATTAGAAAGAAATTTTTAGAGCGCACAACGTAAAAACACTATTTGACAATGTCGACCCAGGGAAGGTACTGGGCTTTGTCTGGGAGGTGGGGTTGTCTACGAAGATTTGATTTGTGAAATTGTGAACATATAATATTTACAAAAGATTTTTACTAAATTATTAAATTTTCCCCATCTTTACTATTTTAACAGTGAATAGACCTTGTTTTTAATAACTTAATTAAAAAAATGTAGCTCTTGTGGTATGAAGGGAGAGTAATTTTTTAGGGATTACGGGCACGACATGGTATGTGGATATGCCAAAAAACTCAAAACTCATCTCAAACTCATGTTAAAAATTTGCAGATTTTTTATAAGGAAATCAACTTACAAGTTAAAGTTGCATAGCATAGATAAGATTTACTATCTTGATAATAGATCTTATCTTATGTTTATCATACAGACGTTACTTAAAAAAAGAAGATGATTATGTTGTAGGCATCATGCATATACTATAGATCTAGATATAGATCATACGAATAACTGTACTATACTACTAGTAGTACTAGTAACACTAACAGTGACTAACACACACATGAAAATGGCTAGGTATCAGACTACAGAGTAACAGACTACTACAGTTATTGAGTTAATAGTAGGTTAGGCCCGTTAGGTTAGACTTTCCTGACTTTTTTAGAGTTATAGAGATTAGAATTAGAGTTAGACTCTGTAAGTCTGTTGATGATCTAAATTTAAATCTAGATAGAATCTAGATGATGATGTAAATGCAATTACAGAAATAAAAGTATTAGCAAAAGAGAAATAAATCTAGGACGAAATAGATAGTTAGATCTCTAGTCTAGATCTAGTATTAGTAGTATAATTATAATTCATATTCACCTTAACAATGCCCTCAGAGGCATTGTTGACACTTGACAGTTTTGATTATGAGAGTAGCATACCCTGTCCTAAAAAAAAAAACATAACAAAACAACATTTTAAAATATGGAAGTTAATCAACAGAACAAAGCCTAGTATATACTAGTATATATTTATAGACCGTGTTCAGGCTATGAAAATGCTATTTTCCACAAACGCTACGATAGATGATTCAGACAACGATGACGAGTCCGATATTGATTTAGATGTAAATATTATTGAAGAAGGTGAGGAGGAATTTGAAGATGGAGAAGATTTAGACCTAGATCTTTCTAGTAGTTCTAGATCTAAAAAATCCAGATGTACTAACCCCAGTGGCGGCAGTGCAACACAGTCGGCTTAGTCGTGTTGGACTACTGAGACAGGCAATGTAAGGGACTGAATGATTGAGTTTAACGAGGTGGTTGGAGGCATTCATGGTCTTCCTGATTCAAGCACACCTCTAGATTACTTTAGACTTTTTATAGATGATGACATTATAGATATGATTGTTGAACAGACCAACTTATATGCAGAAGTGTAGATTTGAGAAAATTCGGCAGTACATCCACCTCATGGACAAAGAAAAGATGCCCCCAAGAGGTTCGAATGAATATGACCCCATATAAAAAGTAAGGAACTTTTACAACAAAATAAAAGAGAAGTGTAAGGCTTTATATAAGCCAGGAAAGAAGCTGTCTTTTGATGAGGCCATGATTGGTTTTAGAGGGAGGCTTTTTTTCCGGAGTTCATCAAGAGCAAGCCAACAGCCTGGGGGATAAAGGTGTGGTGTCTGGCCGAGGCAGAAACTGGATACATCCTGGACTACAATGTCTACACAGGGAAAGATAAAGCACCTATGCGAGATGGATTAGGCCATAAAGTAGTGATGCAATTGGCTGAGCCTTATTTGGACAAAGGCCATGAAATTTTTTGTGACAATTTCTTCTACAGCATAAAACTGGGAGAGGATTTGTTGGACAGAAAAACCTACATTGGCTCTACTATTAGACCGAATTGCAAAGGCTGGCCTTATGAAAAGGTAAAAAAGGCACCAAAAGGTCAATGCCTAATGAAGCAAAGGGGCATGTTAGTTGCTACACAGTGGACAGACAAAAGGCAAGTCAACCTTCTGTCCAGCAACGCAGATCCGGCAATGGCAACAGTACAAAGACGCACT